ACTCAACCAAAGGCCAAGCGTCAAGCGTGCGTCACTTAGCAACTGTTTTCTGAAAGGCTAAATATAATTATAAAACCGCCTACTGGCAAGAACGATAGAAAGTTTAGGGTTAGTTTAAACCTGATGCATTAGAGACAAATATTCAAAATCATTATTTTCGAGGGTTGATTGATAAATTCACATAGAAGGAATTGCGTAAAAGTGAAATCTTTTGAAAATGGACAAATTTAAGGAAAGTGTAGTGATCGTGTACTGAAGGGAAAAGGGCTTTACACTAAAAAAGCCATCCGTGAAGATATGGGTACAACACGAGGGAAGGATGAACGTTCTTATGCGCCTGTAAAGAGGAGGGCAGCAGAGTTCAAGCGTGGCAGGGAGAGCCTTGAGACGACACCGTCCTGGCAGATCTTTGACGTAAGCAACACTAGAGAGAAAGTTCCTAGAAATGCATTTTCCAGGATAGTGTACTTTCCATTATCACAGACACTTTAGCAATGAATAAGGTATCAGTTCGTGGAGTTCTAATGCTTCTGACATCTGATTAAAAACGAACCCGACACAACAGTTCTCGTGACGTTCTAGCTCTGTTTAAAGCTGCTCTAGAAAGGTTTGTGGAACGATTTCTGGTAACTGCTTCCAGCCAGACAACAATCAAAACAATGGAAGCATTTGACATCACCATCGCCAAACATGCCAAATCCCATCACGTTATGGTCTCTATACCCTGGGAGGGTATCATTATTGTAATGATCTTCCAAAAGGACAGGCAATAAATCGAGCATATTATGCTGTACGTTTAAGACAATTACAGGACGTGCGAAGCAGTGAAAAGGTGTGCTCTTCCATCAGGACAATGCTTCAATGCACAAATCAGTCATTTCCATGGCCGAAGACCACGAATGCGGCTTTAAATTCCTTCAACAGCCACCTTATTCTCCTGATATGTCTCTGTCAGATGTCATGTGCTCTCAAACATGAAGAAAGCTCCAGCCTATATGATTTTCGTTTACTTGCTACTTCATCACCGACGACGACTAAGGGATGCACCTGCTACTGTATTTGAAGACTGACCACACTCATAAATGTTGTCATCTTCAATTACTTGCCAAAGAAGTCATTTGAGACATTCACGCATATTCACAGTTTTACAATGCTTTTCACGCATGTTTTCAAATCTACAATATCCTTTACGCATGCGTGCCCTTTACAGTGACCTTCTTCAAGCTTGTTTACACGTTTGCAATGATTCGTGAATGTATGCAGGTTCTCACATCTGATTGGATACACTCAAAAATATGATTATTCTGTGGATTCAGTGTTGAAAAACAGATGACGAAGGAAGCCGGGTCAAAAACAATGCGCGCCGGGTCAAGAACAATGCGCGGTCCAGTTAAATCTTCCGATATGTTTCGACCAAATATAAGGAATTTGATGACGAGTTTATACTCTTTTGTGGTCAGGCCTGACGTGATAGTTTGATGTATATGCTACTTTCGATTGATAGAACATGCAATAGTGTGTTAAACTCATGCCTACAAAAGAACATTGCCTAAGGTGCAGATGAGAATATATTAATTTTGTTCGAATTAATCAAACTCCCGGGGAAGAAAAGAACGACGGATATCAGCTTGAAGGTTTAGCTTGTGGTACAAACGATAATTCGAAAGAGATACTGACACAATGAAGCGATTCTTGCGAGTCCAGTCTGAAGTTGGTCAGCACCTTTCTCGGGGGATCAATTAGCCTACACTGTTGCGTGAAACCCCTATTCGTTTAGCGTTGAATGATTCTTAGAAAGCGTGCTTCAGCTTTGATTGATATTGATTTGTGACGTTTGATGATCCAGCATGGCCTCCAAGGATGGGGGAAGTAGCTAACATAGAGAAGTTGGAGTATAGTCATGGTCTCCCTGTTACCCATATCAACATCCTCTTGACGAGTCACCATTGTTCTTAGCGCAATATGCACGGACTGCATATGTCTGATCACAGCTTAAGAGAAAACGCACCAAACTACTGGTATTACCAAATTAGTATTACATGGCCATTGTATTGATTATAACAAAACAACGCATTTTTACATGTATTTATATATATTTTCTACCATACATTACATAGCTTTAGATTATTTCTCCACAGATAATGTGATCCCACCATATGAATGCTTTTACTGTTGCTTCATTGTTCAGATCATATGATCAATAAAACGTTCTCTAATTACAAACTATAGCAGTTATCGGGTTTGATGACTCTTTCATGTCTTCGTGTCAATTTTACCAAACGGACACCAAGCAGGTACATAAATCAACAGCAACACAATTTCAACATCCTGGTTGGTTTGCGTTGTTGTCATATCTCTTCCGCTGATCTTCATCATTAGAAAATTAGCATCCACTTTACTGAAGCTCGCTTTGTGTTTGGGAAATTGAGAGATATTGGGGCTGTGGTAATATTATCTTGAGAGTTAGTGTGGTTTTTGGTTAGTGCGGACATGTTCCTGGGGTGTGGGTGGTCAGATCCTCGGTCGCGTCCTAAAATGGTACTTGTTACCCTGCCTGCGTCATTAAGGGGTAAAAATAAAGCCTTGTCGGCTCAGGGTAAAAAAAAAATGTCTGAGCTGGTTATCCATGTTAACCTTCTTACAAACCAGGGAAGTAAACAGGTATCGGAGTTCAAATTGAGATAGAATCCTTCACTCACGCAGCTTTGATAATCCATTATACTTTGACAATAGCTTCATATCACCCAACTTCTACACACCACGTAACTACATGCGACTAACCGGATCGGGTGGTCAGGCTCGCTGACTTTGTTGATGCATGTCATCGATCCCATTTTGTGGATCGATGCTCATGATATTAATCACTGGATTGTCTGGTCCAGGTTATTAACAGATTGCTGGAATATTGCTGAATGCGGCGTTAAACAATAAACCAACCAACCAACCAACCAACATAACTGTAGGTGACATCATCATCTCGTATCTGAATTGCATTATGATTCCGGGACGCCTACAGGACGCGACCCTGCACAACGCATTGCGGCGCTACAGATGACTGTGGCCTGTGGCATCAATGACAGAAAGCGTTTATATTTGTTATTGATTTGTGAAAGTACTATAGGAAGTTACTGATGCAGCAATGCATAACCTCGTGGATGCATCCAGGCAACCTTCGCCACAATGTTGACGCATGTTCCGCCAATGGAACAATTCTGTTTTGTCATGCAGCACCATATTGACTTTTATGCGTGCTTGAAGTACTTCTCGATTTCTACAATAATGTACTTAGTGGTATTCAAAGTGTTTATCAACCAGCATTATCGTTTCTGATCACGAACTTGAACATTGGCGTTAAAGTAAATGATATATTATTATCAGCTATAATAAGAAATCATTGTTAGTTTCAAAGGAAGGGTACAAGGAGTTCTGTTGTTTCGTCGATGTGGAGTTACCACTTCAAAGCACTTCACACTTGTTGTATGGCAATAGTCATTAAGAGTTTGAATCAATTTACAGTAAAACCTCGTTAACTCAACTAGCGAAACACTATCGAAGTGGAGCTAACTGATATGGGATGTATCTTCCAAAGGATGAAATTAACATCACACTTTGATGTGTGAAGAAAATGCCGATTGCACCGTACAGAACATTAACTGACTAAAACACGACTGACGGTGTCAATTTCATAATGATGACTCATAATGTTAAAACATATGTATTGGGTCTATGTTATATATTGAAGAATGTTTTGCAGAAACCTAAATGACACATGACTGTAAATAGACATGTAATAGCAGATGACATGGGCTTTATTCATTATGGCTGTCACTGCCAGAAATACCAACATTGATTGCAATTATAAATATTAAGTCATTGTGAATAATATATATTCGAACAAATGTGATTGTTTTTTTAATTTCCGAAGCAGCCTGCCGTCTATTTTAGATGATGGTGTGTAGATATAATTCATTTTAAGATAGTTTAAGAAAGTCAAATCATCCGGATGCTGAACATTTCTCAATTAAGGCATGTGCTTTCAGGATCTATTTAATAGGAACCACAGAAATAAATCCCAAGTGTTGCATTTGAAGAACTAAACATAAAAACATGTCATCAGCATATTTTAACTGATATAATCGGCATTAAAGACGAAAAGAAATTCAAATAATTTCCACATATTTCCCTCCGTGTTGTCAGCATAATAATTTGAAAATATGTTTGATATACGGCAACACTTATCGTTGGGAAGGACACTTGATTAAAAACATCTGTCAAGTGCCAAGTCCATCGTCTCATCAATTCCAACTCGTCTGTAGATTCCCAGTTGATGAATGTTGTCTTGCTGCGCCGATGATTGTCTTGCTGTCAACCGATGGTTCAAGCAATACATTTTATTTTCTATATTATCAATCGAGGCGACATTATTCTGAATCATGCATACAGATAGAAGAGAGCTATGGTATTGTGGTATATCTCTCCAGTGTAGATAATATGTCGTTAATGAAACACAGCCTACTCAGCCTACACAGCCTTATTTTTTGACAGCAAGGGGTTGCTATGTCTCCCAGATTTTCCACTTAATAATCTGATTTTTTATGTTAAACTTTGTTTACTGTTTTCAGATATTAAGCAAAGCTAATTGATAAAAAACACTTGTCAAATGCAAAGTCGATCGTCGTATCAATTCCAACTCATCTGTAGATGATACTTTCTCAGTTAATGTATTTTGTCTTTCTGCGCCGAAGATTGTCTAGCTGTCAACCGATGATTCAAGCAATACATTTCATCTTTCATGATATCATTTGAGACGACATTATTCTGAATCATGCATACAGTCAGAAGAGAGCTATAATATTGCGGTATATGTCTGCAGCGTGGGTCATATGTGACGCCTACATAGCCTTATCTTTGGACAGCAAGGTGTTGCTACGTCTCCTAGTAGTCTGAGCTCTACTTGGTAATCTGATTTCTGATGTCTGTTTTCTGTTTACTGTTTTCAGGGTAACAACACACTATGAACAGAAAAGAATGACGAGAGGGAAGACATTACCCTTGTGTCGAGCAATATACCAGCAGCTTCAGCCTTTGTTGTCTACGTTGCAAAGGTTTTGAGACAGAACCAATAATGTTCTTCCTGCGAAGATTTAAAGAGATTATGCGTTTTACCTTGTTTAATCAGGGTTAAGTTAAGCTTACAAACTGTTTTGTGGTAGGCACGTGGAGGAAATTTCCAAGTGTGACCAAAATGATATCCGATGCAATTCGCTATTTTGACTATATGTTCCCGTGTCTGTTCTGCTGAACAAATGACTCGCCTTTGTATGTGTTTGTGACGGGTGCCACCAGTGGGGACAAAGAGATGCTAACGTTTCGCGAAAACATATCATTACTATTTGATATTGCTTTTTTTGTTTTGTTTGTTTGTTTGTTGTTTAACGCCGCACTCAGCTATATGACGGCGGTCTGTAAAATAATCGAGTCTGGACCAGACAATCCAGTGATTGTCCTCATAAGCATCAATCCACGCAATTGGGATCGATGACATGTATCAAGCAAGTATCAACCAACAGATCCGCAAGGATAACAACACAATTGGTGCCCATGGGGATGTCAACTTTTTGTCCTATCCCCAAAACGCCCAGCATGTCATAGAGTTCGGTAAACTTCATATGACATTTGCTTCTATTTTTGTCAAATTGTCTTCAATCATAAAGATAACTTTATCAATGGTCACTAAGTTTAGTTTCAAATGCCCCATGGGTCAAGAAATGAAGTTTCTCCTGAAGTGTATCGTGTTGGAAAGTGGTGTACACAATTGCGGCGCCATAGAGACTGGGACCCATGCGCAACTTGAAAAAACATGGAAAACTCCAACATTAACACCAATAATTGAAACATCCACAAAACCCAACTGCACTGCATTTAGTGTTACAAAGGCGCCGATACAGTCTCATTCACAATATTTATAGGATCACCCTGTGGCTTGGATGGGACGTGCTGGCATGTATGATATTTATGCCTCAGGTTCATGTGGTTTTTCTTCAGCCTGATATTAGAATCAAGTGACATTGAAATTCATGAGAAAAATTCCCCCTATATCGTGAGAATTTGTTTATAAACTTTCAAATTGTGATGATACTATGAGTTCGCCAGAAGGTGTGCACAGGTGGCCCCGTCACAAACACATGCGAAGGCAAGTTAATTGGTGACTTAAAAAAACACAGGAACATATTGTATATGTGAAAATAGGGGATCGCATCGCGACATCCCTCTTGTCTGGAAATGTCCTCCACATGTACGCCCGTCCTGCTTGATATCGATGGTGATACTCGAGACCAATTCCAACCAAAAACAAAGGGAGGCGCCATTACCTCGGTGTTACCAATAATCCGAGTGGTGATGTCGGGTTACTCCAGTTTTACATACGAGGTGTTGCTGAAAATATTTGAGCCTCATTATGATGGACTGATTTAATGGAGTTGGTTGATAATTATTATTCAACATAATCCCCTCCCAGGTTCTCACACTTCTGCCAACTACGCTCGAGTGCCGGGATCCCACTCAACATTGAGGTGTAATGACGTCATAATCAATTGGAATTCTGACGGTGCCAAATCTGGTGAGGATGGATGCCCAAAGTGTTCAAAGCCACAGTCATGCATTGCAGCCGTGGCGACGACAGATAGGTGCATTGTCCGTGTGGAACACAGTGAATGTTCCACGACGTTTTTCCTTGATATTGGCCTTCAATGGTCTGTACTTTCAGGAGGTAGTCCACCCAGAAAACCGAAGCCACCACCTTGCCAGGTAATGGAACAGACTTTGGAGGTTGAGATGTTCGATGCTTCCACTGCTTTGTCTGTTGGTTTATACTGGTTACACACCGCTCAATAAATGTAGCTGGGTCAGCTTCAAAATGATATAAAAGCCAATTATGTCCATTATTATCAACAGAAAATACCTTGTCGCGTTGGTGCCTGCAGAAACATGCCTGGTTGTGACCTGCAGACGCAGAATTATTCAACCACCCCTTGTATATGTGAAACCGACAAAACCCTTTCCATAATCATAGGAAATCTCTGTTGTAAGATTCTCACTATATCATGTATATGTTTATGCATCACTATCATGGGTATATGAATATATGTGTAGGTTATTACACCGTACTCGACCCAATAACTCATCATTACACAACACATATTTTATAGACTTTCCAGCATATGGTTTTCATCAATATTTTGACGATGAGTCATTTCAACAATCAGCCTTTGCTTTAGGTAACATAGTCTTGTAGCTTCGCTACAGGAAAAGTGCAAGTATACTACATATATGACAATGTCGCAGATTGACAAGACGTATTATTTCTGAAAAAAATCTGGAAAATACTGGATGTTCTGCTCCTCTTTTGAGGAAGTATTTTATGTCTTGAAGCAGGAAACAAAACTAATCACAATAACCAGAGGTAAAAGTGCAAGTGAAACAAATTGTAACTAAAATCAAACCCCAGTCCCCGAAATATAATTCGGAAACAGCTTGCAGCGACTCCGACGATTGATACGTAATCAGTATTGCTTTATAGCAGCAGTCTTACTTTCCATGACAATACAACTCTTAATTAATTTACAGTCAGCTATGGTTATTTGTTTTCTTAGAATAGTGTTTCCTTGTTAGTTCTATTACTTTCTAGTTCATTGGCGTCAATGTACACGTGATTAATAGTTAAACAACAACAAAAAAAACCAAAAAACAACAACACGTGATTAATAGATATTCAGGTTTGTACAATTACAAAATAAACTAGACCACACGATTAGAAAAGTCACCTGACAGAAAAAGCGACGTCGCTGCAATTTGTTTCCTTTCTATTGATTTCCCAATCAGACACCAGTGGGGTATAAATCAACAGAATTACAAGTCTTCCTTCCGAAATGTACTCATGTTGATCTTTGTCATTAGACAAATAGCTTACTGCAGTTCGCTTCGTGCTGGTGACTGAATTGAGACAGGGTATGGTTACTAGTCTGTATTTGAGTGTTATTGTAGTCTTTATGTCCGCTCCATTCCACACAGTACAGACGCAGTCTCTGGAATACTCGGCGAGTGTTGAGGACATTTGTTTGTAGTACCATGTATTTTCCGTTTTATCACTGATACATTTGACTAGATCCAAACTGAGTTCCGAGTAAGAATATAGGTCCTCTGCATTTTATGCATGTCATAAGAGGCTACCAAATGGATAGGGGTTGTTGGTTGATTGCATGACATCGCATCCCAATTGCTTGGATCGATGCGAATGATAGTCATTCAGTGTATCCGTCACTGTAGTGTCTGATCCACACTTGATTATTTGTGCGGCGTTGAACACCAAAGACACCAACCAACCAAACAAATAATAATGGGTCCAGCCATCTGAATAATGAAGTCATGTCCATACATAGAACAACCTATCGTCTTTTTATTAGATTAGTCAAAGAAAAATATTTATATACCGTGAACAAACACACATCACTTCATATGTTTCTTTCCGAGCCCGGCGATATATGTAGTCGAAACAAACAAACAGACAAACAAACAGCGCATTGTGGGCTCTTGAAGAGTCTGCGAAGGATCCCAAACAGCCCATGCTTGTCTTAAGAAACTGCCAAGAAGATCGGATGGTCAGACAAGGTGACATGGCTGGCGATGGCGTGGATTGATTCTCACCGGTTTATATAATTAAAGCTCAATTATTTCCTCACAGATGTGATATGAATGGCTGGAATATACACCGGATAACTGTGGCGTTAAATAACACTCACTCACTTATGCGCAACGGGGTAACACGTCACACTCCATCCTTTTGCTGTACACTCTAATGGGAATATCACCTCAGGCCATTTCAGCCAAAAGCAGCTTTACATTATTTGATAGTGATTCATAAACACATACTCATGATATGGTCGGAATAGTACAATCGACTCTGCTTTTAGCAGATATTTGTTATGAATATTTAAAGTTTTTAGTCGCTTTTATTATTCTAGAAATGACGATGAAAATAAATAACATGCTTATAATTTAATGTTGGTTATATACTTCGTCTACTGTCAAAACCATAAAGCAGGTAAGCCCTTTAGGTAAATAACACACCAAATATGTTGACTGACCATTTTGTTTGCAATAATATAATTACAAGTTTCAAGTTTATGTTACAGTATCCATATGCTGTAACGCAAAAAGACAGCACAGAGGGCCTTGGCGACCATACGTAAAACAAAAAAATCGACCCTTTCAGCAAAGTCAGGTGATGATTTGTGGGAATTCAAAGGACAGATCAAGGTTAAAATAATAAACAAACATCATATACGTCGCACTGCTAACAACACACACACTAAGGTCATTACAGTTTATGAAAACAAAACAAAAAGTGGGCTTCCTACACTGGCTTGTCGAGATTCAAACCTGGACTGTCCTCATAAGTGATGTATCTGTCTGCTGTGCTCCTTCGAGGAAAAGAGGCTAAATCTGTAAATAACGAGGATTGAGACAGACAGTAGATCTAAAGACCTCTCCTATGATGGTATTGCTGCTGTTTGCTTGTCGTCCCGTGATTACGTTTTATAGAAATTCTGTATTGATGTTGTTTGCCAAACCTTGTGAGCATTAAATATCAAAGAAACCACATTTAACATTTTTTCAGTGTTAGTCTTATCAAACTGTAGGGAAAGGAGGTATTCTCAATCAAATCAGTTTAATATGTTCACTGCTGAGACATCAAAGGAAAACTGAAAGCAGTAACTCCAGATAATTGGATGTATAGTACAATTTAAATATTGTTACATTTGATTTCGAACCTTCAAACTATTGGGAATTGGAATGTCTAGAATATATAACTTTATTTCAAAGAAGAATCTTTAGACTTGTACAGACAGAGTGAAAGATCAGTGCCAATAAATCAATAAGTAACCATCATGAAAACAGGTGATAACGCATCAGATGGATTTGTTTAGATAATTTCAAGTTTGCTCATATAAAGGTTTTAATGAACTGCACATGGCAACGACCATATCAATAACTAAGTGACTTAGCGTTTCTGT